AATACCTACCAGACCACCCCAACCCAACCCGAAGACCCGAATTTGACCCGAATTTCGGGTTGGGGGGGGTACGGATACCACGTGTTTTTTCAACGTTCCCCGACCCCCCCCCACTGGAAATCGAGGATAAATTTGGGCCTTCGGGTTGGGTTGGGGTGGTTTGGTGGATGGTGACCAACCCGTGGGCCAGGCTCTCGCCCCGGGCAACCTGTCGATGGGCCAGGGAGGCCCGAAAGCAGCCACCGGAGGCCGCCCCTCGAGGGAGCTCGCGGCGGCGGCTCGCGCGACGGCCTCCTCCGGCTGCTCCTCCTCCTCCTCCCCCTCCTCCCCCTCCTCCTCCTCCTCCTCCTCCTCCTCCCTCCTTGTCCTCCTCCTCCTCATCCTCCTCCTCCTCCTCCTCCTCCTCCTCCTCCTCCCTCCTCCTCCTCCTCCTCCTCCTCCTCCTCCTCCTCCTACCTCCTCCTCCTCCCCTCCTCCTGTCCTCCCCTCCTCCCTCCTCTCCTCCTGTCCTCCTCCTCCCTCTCCTCCTCCTCCTCCTCCTCCTCCTCCTTCCTCCCCCTCCTCCTGCGCTCTCCTCCTGCCCCCTCCTCCTGCTGCTCTGCTGCTCCTGCTCCTGCTCCCGCTCCTGCTCCCGCTCCTGCTCCTCCTCCTCCGCCTCCTCCCCCTCCTCCTCCTCCTCCTCCTCCTGGGATGCGCCCCAGCACCAGATCGACCCAGGAAGGGCGCGGCACGAGCGCCGTGCGGAGCCTCGCTCTGCGGCGCCCGCTGCGGGCGCACCTCGATGGCAAGCAGCGAGCAGTCTGCAAGGGTTGCGCCTCCGACAAGGCCTCAAACGTCTTGGCTCGAGGCCCGTGCTTAGACTGCTTGCTAATGAGCATGCACACTGTGTGGGAGGTGGCTGCGTTCGATAAGACACGACCTGCTCTGCCGCAGTAAGTCTAACATGTGGCTTCGTGTGGCCTGTGGCCATTCCCGTTCCCCCGCCAGCGCTCCTGTGCGTGCGGAGAAACACCTGGGCGGTGCCGCGGTGTGCTCATGCTCAAAGCTGCAATTCCCTATAACTCCGCAGTCGTGTGGTCGCGCCGATAGACTGGCAGCAACTTGCACAAAGACTCGAAAAAATATCCCGGCAAAGCAACCTAACAGCGATGTGTAGGAGCATATCTAGAAGCATTCCCCTTAAGATTCAGATGAGAATCCTGTAGAATTCTGCTGTTCTCGCAGTCGTAGTCGCATTCGCGATGGCAGTCGCAGTCACAGCCTTAGCCTCAGCGTGCCTCAGCCTCAGCCTCAGCCTGCCTCAGCCTCAGCCTCAGCCTCAAAATCAGTCCTTCAGCCGGCCTCAGCCTCAGCCTGCCTCAGCCTCATCAAGCCTCAGCCTCAGTCTGCCTTCCTCAGCCTCTGGCCTCAGCCTCAGCCTGCCTCAGCCTCAGCCTGCATCAGCCTGCATCAGCCTCAGCCTCAGCCTCAGCCTCAGCCTGCCTCAGCATCAGCCTGCCTGAGCCTCAGCCTCAGCCTGCCTCAGCCTCAGCCTCAGCCTGCTTCAGCCTCAAAATCAGTCTGCCTGCAGCCTCGGCATCAGCCTCAGCCTGCCTCAGCCTGAGCCTGCATCAGCCTCAGCCTCAGCCTCAGCCTGCCTCAGCATCAGCCTGCCTCAGCCTCAGCCTCAGCCTGCCTCAGCCTCAGCCTCAGCCTGCTTCAGCCTCAGCCTCAGTCTGCCTTCAGCCTCGGCCTCAGCCTCAGCCTGCCTCAGCCTCAGCCTGCATCAGCCTCAGCCTCAGCCTCAGCCTGCCTCAGCATCAGCCTGCCTCAGCCTCAGCCTCAGCCTCAGCCTCAGCCTCAGCCTGCTTCAGCCTCAGCCTCAGTCTGCCTTCAGCCTCGGCCTCAGCCTCAGCCTGCCTCAGCCTCAGCCTGCATCAGCCTCAGCCTCAGCCTCAGCCTCAGCCAGCCTCAGCCTCAGCCTGCCTCAGCCTCAGCCTCAGCCTCCTCAGCCTCAGCCTCAGCTGCCAGCCTGCCAGCCTCAGCCTCAGTCTGCCTTCAGCCTCGGCTCAGCCTCAGCCTGCCTCAGCCAGCCTCAGCCTCAGGCCATTCCTCAGCCTCAGCCTCAGCCTGCCTCAGCCTCAGCCTCAGCCTCAGCCTCAGCAGCCTCAGCCTCAGCCTCAGCCTGCAGCCTCAGCCTCAGCAGCTGCCTCAACCTGCCTCAGCAGCCTCAGCCTGCAGCCTCAGCCTCAGTCTGCCTTCAGCCTCAGCCTCAGCCTGCCTCAGCCTCAGCCTGCATCAGCCTCAGCCTCAGCCTCAGCCTGCCTCAGCATCAGCCTCCTCAGCCTCAGCCTCAGCCTGCCTCAGCCTCAGCCTCAGCCTGCTTCAGCCTCAGCCTCAGTCATGCCTTCAGCCTCGGCCTCAGCCTCAGCCTGCCTCAGCCTCAGCCTGCATCAGCCTCAGCCTCAGCCTCAGCCTCAGCATTCAAAATGTGGCCCGGGAATGGAGTTCTGGGAACTCGAAGACCACGAAGTGGCCTACAGTTGGCTCCGGGCACCCAAAATGTGGC